TAGCATGTCATATTACTGGGTTACTCTTCTTTAAAAGTTCTTAAGTCTGGAGTTCATACTAGAACGGTATACCAATGAAACACCTTTTACGCTTTTCATATTCTTAAATGTAAGTCTGGGTTAAGGTGAGATACAAATTATTTACATAACACTATAATGCCAGGTACCCAAGTAGAAAATTTGGAACTGAGTTCTTTACTGACTTCATTCCACATCACTTTGATTCCACTCTACATTCATATCCAGGAAATATCTCTGAAAATATATAGCTTCTCTGTTATCCACATTTATCAGGGCTGTAGTTTGACATGGGTCTACCACATATACATAGAGAACTATTCCTCAAATGGATGAAACAGCACAGACAGAAGATTTATCCTAAAAAATTTTTTTGAAAATCTGTGACGAGACAATTCTCAGGTTTCATTGATCTACGAACCTATCTAATAACCTGTAGTATGATTATTATGGTATTCAGGGATGTGATGTGGCCATTTTATTTATTTACTTCATCATGGATCTAACAATGCTATCAGTAGCTCAGACTAGACGATGGATGACAGGATGCTTAATTTTAAAGGATGTAGAAGGAAGTGGTTATAGCCTAATTTAATGTCCTAGCCCAGCATTTGCCTTGAGGAACTAAGGAAAACTTTAAAAAACTTTAGCCAGGATAGTCAGTGTCCTGGGAGAGATTCGAACTGGTAACCTGAATAATAATCAGAAGCAACTTCCTCGTTGATAACATGCAGTTTTGTACCAACATTTCAGGGGAGTCTCCTCCCATCATCTCTACCCTGAAGACAAAGGTAGCAGGTTCCTCCATACTGACCGTTTCATCTACCACCACATCCCACTAACCAAAATCTTAAAGTTTCTCCCCTACTTCTCCCTGTAATGTAAAAGCATCACAAGTTAAATATATAAATTACAGACATATCAGAAATGAAGGAACTCATCATAAAAAACAAAAACGACATAAGGCACTGATGGAAGAACTGATGTATACCAGAATTATTCAATGCACTGACAACAACACATATGAGCTGCAACATTTCCCCGACAAAATTCATATTATTAACCGTACACCATCACAAAGGTCAGGTCTTTGATATACGTGCATGGTACAATTACAGTGTTATCGAGTGTGATACCAGGAGTCACTGCTTTAAAGAGCTTGTTACCCCCCCCTCTTGCCTCAAGACTGAAGTGGCACGTTCCTCTAAAACACCAACATCCCATAAGACCGTAAACTAGACAAAGGTTCTGATCTCTAGCTAATGTCCCATGCCACTGCTTACAGAAAGCATATGGATTGCCTTGGGTTGGTTTCAACAAATTTCTGGGCCATATTTTGAAGGAGGCTTACAGCTTCAAATCTCTCCTGACTTAATCTGGAGCACCATAAAAAGAGGGTGGGGGGAGGGGGGGAACTGGACATTATGCTCCCATTTGGAACTCAAAAGCAGAACCTGCACTTTCGAGACATATTTTAATACACAAAGATGTGTTTCAAATATTGAAACAAAGGAACTGATATACTAGCAAGTAAGAATTTTAAAATATTTATTTCACAATTCATTTAACAGCTCTCCATCAACTGCTCAGTTCAAATGTAAAGCTGTCCCTGTGCTTAACCAATTAACCACTACACCATGAAGACATATGGGGGAGGGGGTGTATAGATCCATGTATTCTTGACCTTGGCACTACTTGGATGTGAGTGGTCAGCTTTACCCCTAGTACCCATTGGATAGGAGGCTGGGTGGGCCCTAGAACCAGTTTTGATGATGTGGAGAGGAGAAAAAATTTGCCCTTACTGGGAATTAAACTCTGAGCCCTCAGCCATCCAGCCCACAGCTAATCTCTATATGGGCAGGTTATTTTGTGATTAATGAAATGACAAAATACTGGAAATGTTTGGGGAGAAAGCAGATATAGCCAGTTTGTAGCTATCCTGATATTTGTCTGATAGGATTCAAGATAATGACATAAAGTCTCACCCATGATAGCCAGAACTTTGAATACAACCTGAAACTTGGATCTACAAGACAAAAATCAGAACTCATCACTAACCTTGAAAGATAAGAAGCCACCAGACTGTACATTATATTTTAATTTAATGCTAAAATTTATAACTTTTTTAAAAGGAGCACTCAGCCAACAGAAGGTTAGAGACACTACAATAAAGATTTACAATAATCTAGCCTTGTTGACATTTTCAGATGAATATGAAAGTTGGACAATGAAAGCAAAGGACGAAATAAGTTTGACAGATTATAAGGGAAATAAAAACGTAATCAGAAGGATTAAAACCAGCACCAATTTGAATAAGAATTCAAAATATAAAATCAACTGGATTCAAAATGTTGAAAGAATACAAAGAAACTGACTTCCAAAAACATTAAAAAAATTACAGGTCACACAGATCAAGGGACCTCTGAAGACACTACCAGATGAATGTGGCTGGAGTGAATTCATAAAGGACATTCCTGTGTCAAGTAACAAATTTCACCTACACTTCAAAATTTTATGGAGGTCAGAATGAAATTGAACATTTATGTAAAATACTTAGGATTTAATGCAGAGACAAAGATGTTCTTTTCAGGCAACAGGGAACCAAGGCACTAGACTAAGAAATGGTTTGCTGACAAGGATACACATTAACATACGTAAGGCACGCGTGACACATATGACAGCCCAAACTATAAGGCATAACCAAAACACTATATGCATATGCTCAGTGATTTTGACAATTCTGCAACAAAGAGCTGCAAAAATGTGTCTGTTAGTATGATTATGAGTATCTATATATAAAAACCTGAGAATCGCTATGTGGGTTTTCACAAAATTTGATACAGGAAAATTTAAAATCTGTCAATAGATTCCAGTTTTGGTTAAAACTGAATAGTGGACATAATACCCACATGTTTCTGGTTGCATCTTGACTGTAACTTGCTAAATATTTACCATAGCAAAAAATGTCGGGAAGTTGTGAACATGAAGACACATTTTAAGCCAGATACACTCTTCTGTTAAGTCTTGTAGATTTCTAGGTAATTAAACAAAAGTGATTTTTATGTTTTGTCAAAACACAGCTCAAGATCCACACAGACTGAATGAGCTGGTGGTAATGCTGTTGACAGATATGGCAGATGTTCAGTTGGAATTTTGGCTGTGAGATGGGCTACTCTGATTTTTTCTTCATTCCCTCCATGCATGTGTCTCAATCAGGCCATGGCTACTTCCTTCTAAATCCTTTTAAATTCATCACCCATACATCATCCTACCATTTGATACTGTACAGTCTACTGTACTGACAGCATCTTAATATAATCCACTAAAGAAATGAAGAAGGGAACCACTGGACTGATTTTGATCACATTTTATTTTGCTATGATGGGAGAAATAATGGAATAAATGCATCAGAACTGTTACACTACATGTACACTTCTGAACTTTTATGTTTATTCATCATCACAGACTTTTAGATTTTATATGATGTTTTCAACAGCTAAAATTATATATTGTAGTATGCAGAGCAGTTTCTAGGCAATAGTTCAGTAAACAAGTTCCTGTGGCAATGGATTCGCATGCAAAAATAAAGGTACTGTTGGAAACAGTGCTTTCTACTCAATCCGTGCAAAGGGGTTATAAGGAACACAACTGAACCCTCCAACCGTGTGGTATTCGACCCATGGCTCGAATACCTCCACTGTGAACCTGCAAGTTGTAGGAGGCGACAAAAAGGGAAGTCTCAAATCTGAGGCAGTAAAATGTGGTTGCGAATATAAAGGGACTCAGACCTGAGAAAGACTGCACTGAGAGCCAGCAGCATGTACAGAAGAGAGACCCGTCCTCTCGTCAGAGAGGGCGCCCCACAAACACAAGACCGTAGCTGTCAAACAGTAATAAATATCTGGTCATGAGCCCCACACAGGGCTCCACACCAAGACCTACTGACTGACTAACCATCAGTCGCAATGTGACTTTGACGCTGACAGGAATAATTCAACTAGAAGGGAGAGCCATTCAGAGAGGACCTGATCATTGAAGTAGGGGAATAGTTATTGTTATAAGCCATTACCAGGAAATGGCTGGTGAAGACACAGCAGGCTAGAAAGGACTTAGCAGGTGCTGTGGTGGTTTGTGAATTGTGGAGATTAGCAATGGTGCTGTGATTGCTTGTAGTTCCAAGTTGTGTAAGTGGTCAATAAATCCAATCCAAACCCCCATCTATAGTCACTTCATACTATATGACAATATCAATGGATTAAAGAATAATAAATTGCACAGTATATAGATTGAAGCTGCTGCCACAGCCTAATTTGAGGCACTACCCTGACATTTACCTGACAGTATGATCAGGAAGGGGGGCCTCAGCCAAGAGAGCTGGTATATGGGAAGGTATCTGAACCTTGGACCTCCTGAATCTGATGCAGAGTGCAACCCACTTCACTGCAATATCTGGTTACTTACTGCTGAATGCCAAAAGATTATGTATTCATAATACCAGGACTAACAGCAAACAGTACAGAGTGTTATCTGGAACTGAAGTCTGGCTCTGACTTAAGCCTTAATTACATATTTTAGGTACAAAATTATCTTATTTTGTCTATATGTTACATATATGTACCCTGAACTGTTACTGAAAATGTGAAAGAAACATTATCATTCCCAGAAATACGGAGCAGACACCAAACTTGGAAGGAGACAGTATAAAACAGCACATGGCTTACTGCAGCCTGTTCCTAAAGAGACAACATGAAGCTCAATAAAGATATTCTGTTAAGGAGACTAGTGAGGGGTGGTGAGGAAGTGCTGATGTGTACTTCATTTATAATACATTGAGGGTCCCACATTATCTAGACAACTGGCTCACAGATGGTTCTGCAGGCTAGCCTGCTGCCCTTCACGCCCCATGAAAATTCCTGGTACTCATTTCTGTTAGAGGCTGAGTCAACCCCAAGGCCATTGTGCGGCTGGAAGGATCATGTCAATTGAAAAAAAAAAAAAGACCACATTGAGACTCGAACCCATGACCTTCCGGCTTGTAGCATAGTGCCTCAACCATCTGATGCTGCGTTCCCCAATTAGAATACAGCACACAGAACATTACTGTCTCCTGAGATGTGACATCATACCCTAGAAAACATCTATCTCCACACAGCCATTGCAAATCTCACATATACTGAACACTTTGGAAGGATATGCTGTAAGCATGCAGCAAGTTACGAACAGCTCTATCTTCTGGGATATTATCCTGTGCATCCCGCTGAAAGTTTTTCCAAGAGACATGTTGCCTCCATCTTCAGGTCAAAGAATATGCCAAACAGGAATCCTGCATGAAGCAGGCAGCTGCTAGAAGTTCAGGTTTAAATGGGAAATCATGGGGGTACCACAAGAAAAATGCCAGTTCCCACCAGCTTGCTAACAGAACGGAGTGAAACAACACAAGACAGGACAAGGATAACTAGTACTGGCCCTGAAAGGGCTGCTAGTGCAGGAGTGTGTGGGGGAGGGGGGTGGCAGAAGACACAGTGTTATATCCCAAAATGCTCACTTAGCATATCTTCAAGCCTGCAAATGATGGTGGTACGTTCTTGCAAAACATCTGTGAACTGCCAGACTATGTAGCATCACATCCCAGATATCAGTCACTACTGTGAGAACATCTCATCTTATAGTGAATACTTATCTAAACACTTCCTTTCGAAGCTAATTAAACACTGACAGCAGACAATTCTGAAACTGACATGAAGAGTAACAGAATTTTATCGAAGTCTCTTTTCTCTTGTCCTGTTACTTGCTGATCAGTATTGCAAAATACAGCCAAAAGCCCTGAACCAGTGTTCTGTACCAGTACACTGAACTACATCTGAAATAGACACATCACTATTGCTTATGAAACCTACATGTCTGCTTAATCATTTGACCATCACTTGTGACACACAAGTTATATCCAACATTTGCTAGTCATGTGCTGCATTACTGGCACTTGCACAAAGTCCAGCTGGCAGAGCACTGTAGTTCTTCAACAACCACACCTGGTGAAATTTTATATTTAACTTTCCCTCTTCCCAGATGTGATAAACTGTTACCACCAAACTACATGGCTATCAAACCTGTAGCACTGTGAGATTTACATTCATTCCTGGATGACAGAGATTAATATTTCCTTTATGATGGTACATATTCATATGCAACCATATTTCTGATTAAGTTATGTTGCAAAACAGAATTCTATTCTTTTAATACAATTCTGGAAAAGATACATAGCCCCACATATCATTTTGCTCTCCATGGACTCTATGCCCTGTTCTGTTTCCTTTACATCTGGGAGAACATAACAGAGTGGAAGTGACAGTGATATGAAATCAAGCTAAATAAAGTTCATACAGTTACAGACAGCAGTCACAAATCCCCGTTTGTAGATACAGTCACCTCATCAATGCAGCAGCAGCAATTATCATCACACATCATCATTTGCATACAGCAATTCTCATACTTGATCGTTCATGTTTAGCACAGGAAATACACACACAGATCCAGCACTTCTTGGCAGAAAACAGAACAAATTAAAAAAACCAAAATTCCATTAGTCACTGCAGCACCAAATGTTTTTGTTTCTCGATTATCATTAAAATAATCCAAATGTTATACTATGAACATTAATCATATCAGTTACATAAACAAATCAAGGATATCAAGTGCACGACACTGACAACGAATCTCTTCTTTTAATTATATTTAGAGTCTTATGAATTTTATGGCAAATAAGCCAAGTCATTTTTTTAAACTTGTTCATGTAAAATTTCTAGCTTCCAACTGATTATTGTATGTCAACTCTTAAAATACAGAAGGATGGACAAAATTTCAAAGTGGAGGAAGCTGACATAGATGGCAGTGTCTTTCAGAAACACATTCCATATGATATATGTTGAGCAGCATACAACAAATTTTCACGAATGCCAAACATTCTCACCTAACTTAATTAGAAAATTTTACTGCTGTACTCAAGTTTATTCAGTACATGGGCCTCCAAACGGGTTTCAACTTTCTATATCATTAAAACAAGGACAATTACTTCAAAGTTATGTTTGCATTTATTCTCTTTACTGACTTAGTTGCCACAAAATGTGATACCTAAATGCACTGATCAACCCCTTCTCTGGCAAAATATACATTGCCATTATTATCCTGCAGTGCCATGTTGAATTTAATCACCATCCCATAATACAAATGGGATTTAATGCTGGTGCGGTAAATTCAATATAGGGAGGGCAATGACATCCATCTGCAAACCCACTGCAGTGTCAGGCAATACTGAGGGTATGATGCAATAAACAGCATTACCTGTATCTTCTGTGTGATTGTTATGAAGAATATATCAAAGGAACAAAGAGGCTGTGGTCCAGACCTCGCCATAGAAGGGGTTAAGAAGACCAACAAGAAACAGTTAAGATAGATATAGGACAACGAATGCTGGTCTCACAGATACAAGATCAATGCTATTTCTTCTATAAGAACAAAACAAATCTTTATGAACACATAAATCATGTATGGTATTTCTGCTGGGACTTTTTGAGATTGTTTTGTGAATTGCATGGGCAGCACATTTTGCATATGGTAGTTTCTTTGGCAGTGTGAAGTCATGTCTGCAGATTTCAGCAAGTGACTTTTCAGACGACATTCATGGTCGACGAATGTCGGTGCCCACATACATTGAGTTATAAATGCGACCCCATCTGCGTGTCTGTCTAGGCAGTGCTGTTATGTGTTGAGCCCCAAGGGAAAGTCTTAAAACATTATGAGTCTCAAAGAATTCAATGGTAAATGGTCGATAAAAAAGGACAAAAAAAGTTATTTCATTTAAAAAAAGCTGCAGTGCCTACATCTTATATTTCATTATGCACAGAATGTTTTTAACTTTTCATTTTAAATATGAGGGACACAAATATTTTTATTATTCTTTTCCCTTTAAAGATAAGGCAATATCTGGCAAAAAAGACTGCAGTAACAAAAAGCTACCTACATACAGTACTTAAATTTCTCTAAATTGGAACAAAACTGTAGCAGCATATGATACTACATTTCCATTTGTCTATTTCTTTCTTTAAAAAAAGGTATAAATTACTTACGTGACATGTGGGGGGGAAAAAAGGTACAAAAAATTATATTGACTTAACGTGTGTTATGATAATTTGCCTGTTAAAATTCAAAAAACATCTATATTTTAGGAATCTCTGTTACTACGCAATATTACAGAACAGTAAAAATTGAAATCACGACAGCTTTTAATGGCCGTAATCAGCGGATCATTTAGTATAGTGTAGTAAACATTCAAAGAAATGGAATTATTCCTCTGCTTCAAACAGGCAGGACAGCAGTTATGATGGAGTAACGTGTAAAAATCTGTAGTAATATGTATGTACTTCTAAAAACATTATCACTCTTGCATTTAGCCACTTCCAAAGCAGGAAGGACGTGAGGGACAATCATTTTATACTGAAAATCTTATTATGCAGAAGATCTTGATTCATCATCATTACCACATAACATCTTCAACACAAAGTTCCTTCAAGTTTCTGGGCATTTTGATTAGTTTCCACTTATCTTTCAGATTGTTAGGTTACATCCTGGATCCTTACATTCAGGGCACTTATATTATGGACTCTAAGAGTACAATTGAAGTTCAAATGTAAAACTTGTATCCACAGATCACACTTTTCTTGGAGGCCAAAGTGCCTCAACATGCCTATGTCCCTTCAAAGCAGTTCATGTGTGGCAACCTTCAGGCTGCAACCCCCCTCCCCCAACAGAAACAAAGAAACTTTGTGGAAACGTAATTGACGACTCTTGTGACTTACGCTCAATATAAACCATAGCACTTTTCACTTAATATTTTAAGCCTTTTATTTCTAATCACATTATATATATATTATGTTCACCTGAATAAACTATAGACTTAATTTACATTCATTTTTAAAAACGGACGGTTATTTCTCTTCTTGTTATCACTTCCTGTTGTTTCAATACAAAGGAAACTGCATGCAGTGTCAGAGTTCACAGTTCCACCACAACTGAGAAGAGTTCAGCACCTTTCAGAACACCACATCAACGTTGCGCATTCTCATACACCTCAATCTCCAACCACTTACTCTGACTTTGAAAAAGGCACCAGATTTGTGTCCCAAAAAAAAAATCTTCCAACCAGCCTTTAGATACATTTCTCACATCCACTTATCCCCATGTATAAATAATTCTCTGCAACAATAAATGAACAAATTTTATGTTTCCTTTCAACAATTATTACACAACACTTCATCTCTTTCTGTCGTACCAGTTATCGACAACCACATCTTACTTGATACGTAATGATATAGACTCTGTTTCAAATTTAAAACATAAACGTCAATCCACATCTCCCTCATGCACTATCCTTTCCTATTCTTCAGTAACTCAACTTTTCACAAAACAGAAAACAGTATTTTTCACAGCCTGCATTTTGGTGGTGTTTCAGGAAGATACAATTGTTTACATCTCCCATCGTTTCTCACCTCCGAATAAGAACGAACAGAAATCGATCGTTATCACAACCGTTTAAGTATTTTCAGTTTTCACATTATTATAGTAGGAACAGCGAAGTGATACCCAATCAATGTTACACAAAACACTGATAGGCCTAAATCAATTAAGAAACTAATATCAACATGTAAGCGTCGGTCCCATGAGCACTGTGCTAAGGGCCGAACTTGACACGGCTGCCTCTACAAGCCAGTCAGGCACCTCTTACCTTCTGGACAGACACCTAAGTGGAATTCAAACAACTGCAGGCTAACAACAGGAACTCTAAGCCATTTGTAAGGAGGGAAGTCTTACTGCATCTAATTATAAAAACCAAATTAATCTTAGTTTTAATGGAAACTTTGTTAATTCTTTATCCCACGATTTAATTTTAAAACATGGTTAACACATTTCCTCAAACTGTAATCTGATGGTATATTTTTTTTTGCATTTCACTTAACAATGCTGTCAGCAATTTAGACTGTAGTGGCAAATGATTTGAATGACATGAGCATAATACACTGCAAAGGATATGGAAGGAAGGAAGTAAGTAATGACTGAGGAATGATCGTGTATTAGTCTCCATTACAAAATGATTAATCTGATTTCTGCCAAAACTTGGGTCCTTTATATAAAATACATACAAATAAAACAGTAAGAAATCTCCTCATTGAATATAATCGTTCACAAGTGTCTCAAAGATATTCCACCCAAAATGTTTCCCATATAATATGTCATCAGAATATTCTGCCAGAAAGTAAACTGACATGTCTTGAAGGAATGTACCTCACTCATCTATCTGCCATTTTACCTTCAATACAAGGAGTCAGGTTTCATAGGCAAGAAGACACAAAATCATTTCACATCAGTAACAAAGAACATTAAATGTACCTACAAAAGACATAAACCAGCCATTCTCTTCTTTCAGAGTTGTGCAGTTCTATTAATTTAGCATAAAAATGAATAAGATATTTCTAAGATGGCAGATGGTTCCAAGTTTAACATCTTTTGTATAAATTATTTTGATGAGACAGTAATAAAGAATTAACACAGAGAATCCCAATCAATGAAGAAATTTTATGAAAGCTTAATGATGAAACTACTACAAAATCATAGACTCAATTGCTATGAACATGTTTTCAGACAAGATCCAGACTTTATACCATATAAACTTCCAGACTTCAACCTGATAGGCTCATGAAACACTGTTAAGCAGACCTTACACGATCAGTAATAACGTCATTACTTGTAATGTCATTATTTGCTTCAGTATTGCTAGACTCATCAAGAGAGAAGCACATTTATTTTGTGTCAGTTTTCTCAAGGATTACAATGGATCCTTGCAGAAAAGCGTGTATTGCTATAATTTTAGCATCAGGCACAAAATGAAATGTTAAGCGCTGACGCTGGATGAAAAACTGGTTACAAAAACGTGAAAAGTATTCCCATGTTGTTCTGCTAAAAGAAATTGGTGCGACAGAATCGGAGGATTACAGAAACTATTTTTGTATGAGTGAAGGAACATTTGATAAGTTGCTGAGAATGGTCGAACCATTGTTAATAAGGAAGGACACTAATATGAAGGAGAGTTTACCTGCTGTACATTGGCATTGACTGGTTGCTCAAATTTGTCGAGAAACTGGAGGGCGTAAAATACCCAGGAAGTAGGCTGACACAATTTATCCATACTGCTTCCCGATCTCTTAGACGTTAGAACTTTCTTTAATTCCTTCCTGTAGTTACAGCGAAGCGTGTTAATTTTTCATCTCACATCAGCGTGACTAGCCCCTGGTTTTATTTTAATGTGTGTATATATATATATATATATGTCCAAGGCTATATTTCTTTTTGTCTTATTTAAATACACTGGGTTAGTGTGGTTCCACAGTTTCGGTAGGGCTTCATATGTCTCTATGAAGTTTCAAAGAACTCCGCCCTCTTCAGCATTCACTTCACCTGTAGTCGATTCAGTGACGGAGAACTCTCTTTCGCTGTCCATGTCTAGTTATTGCCACTCTGACTCCACAAAGCGAAGTGAGTAATGAAGGAGTAATGATACGCGCACTCTACACGGTCATTACAAATGACAGTATCCCCACCATGCACCAGTAATGATGCCTCGAAATCAGAAAATCTGGATTCACATCATTACTGACCATCATTCCAGTTCCCTCAACCTTACACAATCATTATTAATGTCATTCTGATCAGGTAATGACATTATTACTGATCGTGTGAGGTCCGCTTTAAGGTCTAAGAAAAATGGGAGGAACCAGTTTTTATCCTGTAGTCGGAATGATGAAATAGTTTAACCAGTGAAAATTCCGATTAAGATAAAATCCTAGCCACAACATTTTACTGTAATTAACATCACAAAGTGGAAGATTCTGACATTATGTGGCAATACTATTGAAAATCAAGACTAATATATTCTGTCTAGAACATCTTTGAGGGTGGATCATCATCAGACAGTGACATACATCATGACGTCATCATCACGAAGTCACTAGATTCTACTTTCATTATAGAATGGGAACCAACATGACCACGAGAGATCACATTGAAATGTAAAGTTGTCTACTCGAAGCATGACATATCTTACAGATGTTTCATAGAGGCAATAGAAACGTTCAGATAGGAGGCCTTAAATGATACAAGATAAGTAGACTTTTCCGAGTTGTAATGCTGTGCAGTTTGGATTGGAGACAGTTCCAAGGAATTTACATACTTCATCTTCAGGATTCAGAAGTATGCTACAGAAGGAACCAGAAGAAGCAGCTAAGTTTGCTGCTCACTTCTGCAGGTTTCTTGCATGGCTTACTTCTCAACCCTGATGATGGAGGCAATATGTTCTTGTGAAACGTTGGGTTGTCTCAAAGCTGCATAGTACTACAACTGAGAAGACTATACTATTCAGTTACTGCCATGATGGCCGCGCCATAGCTCAAGAAATTAGTTGCTGGCTTCCCATCATGGTGGCCCAGGTTTGATCCTGGATCTGGTCAAGTGGGATTTGTGGTGGACAACGTGGCACTAGGGCAGGTTCTCTTCAGTTTCCCCTACCTATCTTTATTCCACAAAATTCTCCATCATCATAATCACCAGGGGCAGGCTATAATAGGCCAATCGGTGACCGCCGTGCTGAATGGACCCAGTTGGACTCTACCCCCCACTAAGCAAATTACTGCCATTATAATTTCAAACATAACAATACAAGACTTCCAAGAACAGTTCAAGTTACACTTCTACTCAACTTTGAAATTCAAAAGGCTGGTAAATAAACTGACCAATTAACATTCAACTTCTGTTAATTCCTTCAATCATAGTTTTCTTCTGACTGAATATGTATCTCCATGAAGTTACAAGTTTTCCATATATGAGATTCACTGGTAAGTTCATAAATATGAAACAAAATTGTTTCAATTTTAGGATATTACTGAAACAAACATTTCCCAGACTGCTTCCAGCTATAATACTCAATACTCCAGAGAACTCTGCCTCGCTTTTACCTAAACAGAGAATGTATTCCGCGATGTTATGCTATGTGGTTTGGTAGGTGGGTACTAATATTTCAGAGAAACATACTAACAGGGGCTGAAGTGTATACACTGAAGATGCAGCATGTTACTCTAAAATGGTATGCACCTGTTAAACCACAAAGTGTCATACACCAGAAAACCACAATAAGAATTTTTGCCACTGTGAAAAGCTAAAATCTTGTAGGCCACCACTGTATATCAGTCACACCCTAACCTTTTTAATTTACTTCCTGGCATAGATGTCGTGTCATCTTTTTACTTGCTTATGGGCCTCCATGTACTCTTATAATTTGTGTGTCTTTTATGATTTCACAGTGTAAGCACGTGTTTATTCTCCCAACTGATTATAAATTCTCTGAAAGATAGCTTGTATTGAGAAGATTTGGTCTGCATTGCATACATGTGAAACATGTTATACTACTGTCAATACTATTTTGAATAATGCTTCAACAGTTTGGACCTCAAAGAAAATGTTTCTGTTCCTATTATTGTTAAGTTATTTAACTGAGATTTACATACAAATCTGGTATTTGTATCAAGTAAATTCTGTTTTGTAATGCAATTTAGTCAATTCTGTAATGTGTTTATGATTTTTTTGTGGTTTACTTTACAGTGCTGTCAGTAGCTAGACTATAATAACCTCAGACAGTGGAATGACAGATGACTGATGAATTGGAAAGGATTAGAAAGGAAGCAGTTATGGTCTAATTAACGTAATATCCTGGCATTTTCCTAGAGGGACTGAGAAAAACTATGAAAACCTGTCACAACAGCCAGTGTCTCAGCCAAGGATCAAATCAAGCACCTACCAAATATAAGCCTACGGTGTTGCCACTAAATCAAATTGATGAATGATGTGGGAATTAATTCTGTGTTGGCAACATGGTAACTGAAATTTGTTGAACAACAGAATAAGTACAAAATTTGCACTGACATTTCCCTGCCATCTGCCAGAGGATTGTGAAACTGTAGCCAAATCAGAACAATGGGCTAAGATAGACCACATCCCACAGTTTGTGGAGTTAGGGAGCGCTTCACATTTATGTCACACCCTTGTTTTGAGATTCTGAAATACAACATTGCAAGTGTGACCCATATGCAAATAAATACAGTAGTTCAAATCACTAGAAACATGAAATTAATGAGACACCACATGTACTCAGCATATGCAAAAATAAAATAAACAATAAGATATCCCAAGACTGGAAAAAAACTGGGTATAACCTTAAACCCTGTTATTAATCGCTTCTTTATTCCTGAAAACAGTTGGTGGCCATGTGTGACATTCTCTACTGTGTCCTATTTCTCATCACCTGCTGCCTCCTTTCATGCCATTTCAGTTAAGAGAGCTAAAAATTAAGAGGGAAATGAAAGAGATGGGAAATTTTTTAAAGTTGATTACACTGCTCTAATTCAAAGTTAGCTGCACAACCAAACAATACGAAAAGAGATTCAGAAATTATAGGTCACTTTACAAAGCAAAATCTTCTTGAGAGCTACCTAAAAATCATTCAGTGGGAGAAGCAGGCAATCCTTCCAACAACCTGGGCTGTACAAACTCAGACTGGCAGCAATTTTCACATATCAACAACAACTCCGTGGTTTTAGTCTGCAAGTGAACTATACTGACCAAGTGACTGCCACTTGTCGGCGAAGTTTGTGCCAACTTTAACGGTTACATATCAACAGCCTCTACATATATATTTTCTCTTCTCTACTGCACCAAAAAATCATTAACACCATGAAAATTTGTTTATGTGAGACTGACCAACAATAATCCCAGTCCCTGGCACTGAATTAAACATTCTGTCAGTGATGTTATTTCTTGTGGGTTTTTTTTGGGGGGGGGGAGAACTCCATGGCCTGTAGTCCGCTGACTGAGTGAACGCTGCTTGTCGGCGAAGTTAGGGTGTCATGTGGTCAGTGCAACGGATACCCACAGCCATTAATCTAGGTTTTCTAGACCGGAGCCACTATATTCCTGAAATAGCTCCTCGATTATCCTCACAAACGCTGAGTGGACCCTGTTCCAGACCCACTTCTTCTCAGAAAATCTGGTAGCGCAGGAATCGAACCCAGGACCTCTTGATCTGTAGCCAGCAACTCTGACCACTAGACCACAGAAAACCATGGAACATAAAGCATTCATGTATGATATTTGTCAACAGTAGTTGTCTAAGGGTGGTATAAAAGCACACATAGAAAACTAAGTATATGTTGCTGTCTCCTCACCAGAAAGCAGGCCAAAATCATAGCATAAAGATAACTAATAAATCCACTGAAAATGTGGCAGAGTTCAAATATTTGGGAACTGTATTATCATATCAAAATTGGATTCATGAGGAAAATAACTTGAACTCTGGTAATGCTTACTACCATTCAGTTAGGAACCTTTAGTCTTTTTGAACACTGTCTAAACAGATAAAAATTAAAACACACAAAACCATAATTTTTCCTGTGGTTCTGCATGGGTGTGAATATTTGGAACAAAGAGAGATGAAATAATAGGGCGGAGAAAATGCATAATGAGAAGCTTCTTAATTAGTATTCCTTGCCAAATATGATTATAACAATCTAGTCACAGAGGTTGAGCTGGACAGAGAATGTAGCACAAATGGGGTACAAGAGTAATGCATACAGAATTTTTGTGAGAAAGTTTGATGAAAATGGACCGCTAGGAAGACTTAGATAGAGGTGGGAGGACAATATTAACATAAATGGGGTCGTATCGACTGGACTGATCTGGCTCAAAACTGGAACCATTGGCGGGTTCTTGTGAAAATGTTAATGAACCTTCAGGTTCCATAAAATGTTGGGATATTCTTGAGAAGCTGAACAACTGCCAGCTTCAAAAGAAGGGCTCAGCCCACGAAGTTTATCTGTTACCTCGCAGTTGCCTCACAATGCTGTTAAAAGTACAAAAACTATTCATAAAATAAAAAATAGATGAAGAGACACCATATTCTGCTCACTAAAGGGAAACTGGTGTCGGGTCTGAACATTGCTGAAAACTCCTCACATACCTTGACTAGGAGACCAGGGCTTAAAAACCATCAGCATAAGCTGCTACAAAACCACTGAAATTCAAACCATATATGACAGTAACTGCTGGCTGGCACATAACACATACACTCACTTCTGGAGACTACCAAATGATTCACTATGATGACAGTTTAAAGAAACTGTAATGTGTACAGGTTTATCAAGACTGCACAAATTGATGTGAGAATCACCTTCTCTTACCCACCGAAGTGATGGAACAATTTTCAGGCAGCTCTAAGAAAATCTCTGCATTAATTAGTCTTCAGATCACATCCAAAGGAAATTTAATACAATTTGTTAACATTCCAGTGTCCTTCATGGATAAATATTTTCTGATTACATATTGGTATAGGAGTCATTTTGGGTCATAATGCAGCGTATGTTCCCCTAATGATCTGTATCTCCCACACCAAACCCAAAAGTAAATGAGCTTCATGATCGCTGTACTAACTATAACAACGCTCACATCTCCTGCAGCAGCGACATTACGGGATGACGTCCCAGATCTCGGCAAGAAACGGAGGTAATTTCTTGTTCTTCAATTTCAGTGAGAAGCACATCTCCGAATTCTGATTGCCGAGGGTACGCAGCTCTGTCAGCACTGATAACAGCTTAGCAAATATCGTGCCCGAGCGAGGACGCCGCCGGTTGTCTACATAAGCTTTCAAAGCTTCAAGGTAGATCTCCTGTATCTTCTCCACTTTCCAACCTTCAATCAGCGATGGTCTCTCTGCAGTACAAGCAAACAGTATTTCGTCAGGCTTTGTCTATCATATGGTATTCTAAAAACTAGGGAACACATTTCAGAAACTGGATCTGTTTCCAGCGATTGAGGTTAGCTCTTTCTAAGGGACCCAGAAGACGGCTGTGCCATAGTTAAAGCAGTCAGTCGCTGGCTTCCCACCGCAGCGGCCTGGATTCGATCCTGGGTCTGGTCAAGTGGGATTTGTGATGGACAAAGTGGAGCTGGGGTAGGTTTTCTCTGATTATTCGGCTTCCCCTGCCAATCTTGATTCCACCAAATTCTCCATCATCAAAACCACCTAGGGCAGGCTACAATAGGCCAAACAGTGGCCACCATGCTGAGTGGACCCAGTTGGACTCCACCCCCCACTAAGCAAATTAAAAAAAAAGGGTACCCAGAAGAGCAGGTGTCCCCCCTATCATCTGAGGATGGAAACAAATCAGTTTCTCAAACACTGTTTTCTAGCTTCTAGAATAATGGATGAAAACCTTGTAATTCTGTGTTACACACCATTGTCAGAACCCTTTAGAATCTACTAATATTTCATTACATAGAATATTATTCTCTTTTCACATTTACCATATGTACCCAACTACTTTATTATCATTAAAAACTGTGTCACTGTAACACAGAAAGTGAAGAAAAGCAACACAAAACTCAAGCCAAATTTAGCAATTCCTTGGGAGGTCTCAACTATGTCACATACTCTGAAACTTGGGCATCTATGACTATCAACAGACCATATTTCGAAACCAGTAATCATTAAAGATTACTTTCTACTATGACGTGATGCCATATGGTCTGGTAAATAGCCACCAATGTTTCAGGGGAACCTCCTGCCTCCATCTACAGGATCAGCTCATATGATATGCCATCTCTTGGCTATCTTATGGAATTGCAATAAAGTATCACCAAATTCATTAATAAACCTTAACATTTATATTTTTTAATACTTTAAAATTACCCATCCTTGCAAACTGCAAAAGGCTTGAACACAGTTTCACAAATGCAATTTCAAATTTCAAACAAAACAATGCAGACACTGTAATGACTGCATTACCTGAGAAAATAACAATGGCGGTGAGAAGTGCATACTCGGCATTATCCACTTTCATGGCATACATCTGCCGACAGAACCGCAACATGTCTTCAATAGTCTCCCCCATTCCTGCAATGCTGTAGCTGTCTCGAGTATATGGCTGGTTGTTGGCAAACAGAATTGAGTCTGACTGCACATCGTACCTCCGTGCCATTCGGAACATCATCACCTCACTCGAACAGGCCTAGAAAATTCAGATCACAGTTTGCACCTCAGTGGTCAGTGCCAGAGAAAATTCAGAACACAGTTTGCACCTCAGTGGTCAGTGGCAGAGAAAATTCAGAACGGTTTCCACCTCGGTGGTCAGTGGCAGAGGAAATTCAGACTTAAATAATACGTATGTTCGATGCTGGACTCTCATTCAGTGTATTCCGAGTTTGTTCCTTTGTTAGATATGTTCATGGATTTTTGTGTTTGCAGACTTTCACGTTTATCAAAGATAAAACACTGAAAGCATAAAGGGTAACAGGTCCCTTTTTTCCCTGGTTCAGAGCCTAAATTAAACTGTAGGCTTCATATGCTAATCATCTGTATCTGTATTGTACCGGATCTGATCCTGTTGCCAGGCAGCAGTTCTGTAAACACAATACATTATGCAACAACAGAAGCTGTATCTCAGTGAGCAAATGTTTATAGCTCGTTGCTAGGCAACAGTCAGCATGCCAATGGACTGGCAAGGTAACTATCACGTGACTCGTTTTCTCTGTGGTCTTCCTTATGCAACAAGAGAACTGTGATTTCTGTAAGGGCTGTGCCATGGCTATATAACGATAGCTGTGAGCTGTAAGTTCAAAGTGAGTGACAGAGTTCTGAATTCTCAGCAGAAGACAGCCACAGAATGTTCGTTGTTGTGTGAAGTAATATCTGGAGTGATTTGAAGTGCTAGTTCCTGTGTTTTAATTGTGTTACCAGGAGAGGACCAGTGTGTGTAAATCAGTGACAGCTCTGTATTTAATTGTGTTTAAGAGAGACTGTAACCAAAGTGCTAATAAATCCAATCATCCGAACTAGAACCCGTCATTTCGTCCAACGTACCCTCCTACAGGTGACAGTATTTTTATTTTAATTCCATAAATCTCTACTGACTACCAAAGCCATCAGATATAGAACATGTCACATATCTATACATTACTTCTAAACACAGGACTGGTCACCTTATAACTACATTCATAAAAGAAAAATAATTATATATAATTCAGTAATTTAACAAGCATATAAGACTCTTCATCTTGACAGTAATACCTTACTGAGATCACAGCTTATCAGATTATAATAAAATTAATTTATACAATGTACTATACAAACAGCATTGTAAAAGGTTTTATTCATCTTGTATTTAAAATTACTGTCTTGATCACCCTATAACTGAAGGGTAACAGAATCACAAATGCATTCTGTACTTTTGCCTAGGTGAACAGAGTGATGACAAGTCAACACTGGTTGCACCTGGAGAGATCAGACAAACATAAACAACAATGTACACAATGTTTCAAAAACAGGAATCAACAAATATACTCAACCTCTCATCTTTGATGACTGATAGAATCAGGTCCAGATATTTTCAAATCTTTTCCTCTAAAGAATATACCAAATAATAAACATCTCTGCATACCCATATCCAAAAATGTACAAGTATACCGAATATCAATTCCACATCAAATCTCTGAAGCACAGTAGTAACTATATGTATCACCAGCTTTAACATTAAAAAACTGTGCACTTTGACAAACAGAATACTTTTACATTTAATATGATTTTCAGAACAAGAAGTGATTGGTTCTCTGAGAAGCACTAACCAACTGAGTCTCTGTAACACAGATGCAGTATACATTCTGTAAGATAGGAATTTAATTCTTAAGCATTATTTAGATAATCTTGAGCTTCAGAAGGTTAATAACCAAAGTCCATCAATAGACAGTAAATTTTGAAAAATAATGATTCTTCAATACCAACAGATGTCTGCACCATACATCCCAATAAATTAAATGTTAAAGAAACATAATTTTATATGAAGAGTTCTATATAAAAAGTTCATGAAGCCAAATGACTATTGTAAGTACCTATTAAGCAAATATTAATTTATTTCAAAGCAAGGGTCTGTAAATCGGCTAAGTCAGAAATGTTACAAAATCTCACAAAACTTCACAGTGACACATGACATATGAGGCTGTTTCATCTCTGTTATGGTAAGTTTCATAACTGAGGTTATTTACTGGTCCAAGTTTACGAGATGTCATTTTAAGTAGCAGTGTCCTGTGAACAGGTTCTGCCACATACATCAGCCAGTTCCTATTCAACACCAGAAGTTCCCTAGCTTCTCTTGTGCTCCTGTGGAAGGTCCTTGAAAAGATCCTTCATGTGTTTCTACCCAGGTGTGGAGTCCAGGTATTTCTTTTTCTCTGAGATGTCACACACAGAACAAGTTAAATTAACAGGAGTAAATGAAGCTTGGTACAAAGACTGAAGTAACCAATGGTACACTGGTAGGAGAGATGTTTGCTTCCAGTAGTACAGTGTACGTTCTCTGATTTCTTCAGCTGGAGAGCTCTGCACGGTGTCCAATAACTGCAACCCTTTGCTTCATAAGTTTCCAAATGAACACCTGAATATCTAATTTATGAGCACAAAATTAGTATGTGAAAGAGAACTTGCCATTTCTAGCTTACTCTGAAAGCATCTAGAACATACAGTGTGACTCATTCAAAAAAGGCCCAAAATTATTTGTTACAAGTAACACAATAATGCACCAATGAAAATGAAACTTTATGAGTATATATCAGTAGTTGTGGACATTAACTATGTTATGGAAGAATTTGAATTTGGTTTCCTCATGCCCGGAGACACAGGCTGAAATGGCACTTTTTACCTCCAAATGTTATTCCAATGGCAAATTATTATGTAATATACAATTATTAATTTGGGCCTACTCCAAATAGATCACTCTATGTAAGACAGTTCACACTTTGCTATGGACCCAGCAGAACATACAAATTTTCACATCATCCAACTTGATTCAATCAATCCTTCAATCCACAATTTCCACTCAACATGAGGACATTACACAAAAGGATCTCAGAATAAGACTTTTATCTGGCAGCAGAATATTACCATCTTCTTGGACATGACACTGTGTAGTCAGATAGCACATTATCAACTTTTCAGAGCAACCTGCTGTCTCCATCATCTGGGGTGACAAGTTTGCCCACAACTTCACCCCCACCCCAGATGACAACAAAATCTTATACAGCCAGCATTGTGAGAACCTCAAATATCACTCACTGGCAGAAGTTTACAGAACACGGAAATTCATTTAAAAAGATACCGACACATTTTAGTGACTATACATTAGTAACTGGATGCTTACAACTTGTAACTACAAATAATTATAACAGTTTCACTGACATACACACTCTATGAATCACTACTGCAAATATTAAGTCTTCTTCTGTGTCTCCACTAGTCTTTGCCTAGTAGCAGCATCTAACAATGCAACTCAAGACATTCCTTGACTCAGGAAGTGGTTTTCACATTGTAGCTTTGGCCTGGACTGTACAGAAAAAATACTTTGCATGGCTACCCTGGTGCTGTGAAAACATGTTTACCATGCTGCTGCATAGCAACAGCTGCCTCTTTTTTGTTACACTATTCTTTCAGCTGTGATGTCACAACATAAACAAACTTAATTTCTTATACATCTGAATTTAATTTTACCAGTTTCAGAACTTTTTGGTCATAACTTGTAATGTAACAAGTGTTAACTCCTGTCTACAATTTTGAAGCTTACATGTTTGCAATGCATGCAACCATAAAATAAATGCTAACTCCAGTTCAGTGTTCTAGAAGCAATTCCACATCACTGAATTCTGACCCTTCATCAAAATGAAGATAAGAAGTTTTTCAAATGCAGCATTTAAATTCACTTCCACTCCACTTCTTGCTATATACACTAAAAACTATGCCTGTAACAGGCCATGGAGGCCCATAGGACGGAGAGACATTGAGGCTCCCACATTTTCTAGACAATCGGCTCACAGATGGAAGTGAGGATGTCAACCTTATCCACTGGCTGCCCTTTACACCCCCCCACCCCCCAACACACACACACACACACAAAATTCCTGGCACTCATTTCTGTTAGAGGCTAAGTCATTACCTTCAGTAATGCTATTTGATCCTCCCGAAGCAATTTATCAAAGCCTGGTAGTCGCTTGGCAAACTCCACAATCAGCTGGACAGTAAGGATCGTGATCTCCGTGATGTGACGGAACCTGAGGTCACTCTGGTCTTCTCCATCGGTTGGTTGGTTCTGTGCAATTTTCAATATTATTATATACTATGTACATAAGGTATAATCCACATGTGGAGGTGAATCAGAATACCTCCACCATATCCCTGCGAGTCGTAGAAGGTGACAAAAAGGGTACCGGATGCCTGGGGGTATAATTGGGCCACCCTGTCACTGGGGAACATAAATAGAGAGATCTGGCCCTCCAGTTCTGAGGGTTGGAAGCAAGGCTGATGACCTTACTCTGTAAAAAAAAAAAAAATAGTCACGAAATCCAAAGAAGTGGAAACAGAATGAAATCTGGCAGAATCTTCCAAGGAAGGCTAAAAGGTAAAGGTAAAGTTGTCCCTGTGCTTAACTCATTAAGCACTACGTCATGAAGGCATATTGGGGAGTGGATGTATAGACCCACATTTTCTTGACCTCGGCACTAGTTGGAGGTGAGTGGTCAGTTTCACACCACAACCACTTTACCCCTGGGGAAAGAACCCCCAGTACCCACTGGATAGAAAATTGGGTGGACCCCAGAGCTGGTCTGGAAAACACAGAGAAGTGAAAATTCTTGACCGCACCAGGACTCAAACTCTGACCCCTCGTTTGTTCACCGAGAACCCAGTTGCTTTGCCGACTGTGCTATCCCGGCTCCTCTAAGGAAGGCTATGGTTCAAAAATGTTTGTCTTGCTAATGATGATGTCATGAGATGTAAGAAAATAGATTGGAATTACTTTAACACTGAAACTCCAAAACATCAATATTATTACAATTTACTGGTGTATTACACAAAGTTTCTACTTTAAAAATGTGAACCTACAAATTAACATATATACTGGGAAGTAACAATGTAAAATGAGGTAAATATCAGAACCAGAGTGGCCAAGCCTCTTTCTTTCTGGGAAGTTACTCCTGTATTACAATGTGTATTCTCAGTTTCATATTCACACTAAGGCTAGTTATCCTCTCATTAACTGAACTGCTTGAAATCTCTGCTGTTTTACTTTATCTAGAAATCACCTCCCCTATTCACATCTTTCACCTGCATAGCGCTTTTTTCTGCCTCCCCCAAAAAAAGATTGGCCTGTCATAAAATAAACCATAGACACATGAAGATTCCTATTATGTTTCATCAGTTTCATTAACTCTCAGAACTTTCTTCTTGAATTTTTTAATTAGAGTTCTTACTTCCTAGTCGCAGTTCCACTTTGTATTTACATTAAACAGGTAAATTTATCTAGCTCAACTGGTAATGCTTCTGACTTGTATCTGGGTGACACAGGGTTCTAATTATGGCCAAGAAACTACTGGCAAATGCTGGGATAGTACCTTAAATTAGGCTGTAACACTTTTTCCCCATCATTGTCAGCTGATTACTAACATCGTAGCATGTGGTACTATATAGACTGAACTCGTGTCTTAAACAGCATTATCTAAATTAGCTACTTGAAGACTTCATTAAATGACACCCTGCCCACCCTTCCAGCAACAAATCCCTTGCTGAACACAAACTCCACACTGATATGAGTCATCACCCTAGAAGACTTTACCATATACTGTCACTGTGGAGGTTTCAAATCTTGTATTTAATAACATAACTTGGAAAAAATTGTTATATATGATATAAGGTTTCTAAATTCTAGAACTCTTACTGTAATCCTTTTAAGGTCCTCTTCCGATGGTTGCTCATATTCATTTTGAAAGTAAACGAGCCTGTGTATAAGTTCTTCCTGTTCTGGACTCACCGGCTTCACACCGTTTATTGTTGGCAACTTCTCTGTCTCCGCCTGAAAGTCATAATGTACAGTTAGGCACAAAGCCACAAAGAAGTATGGGGCCCATGCAATTTCAATCTCAGAGCTAGATGGTGGTATGCAGTCAGCTTCATGTTCCAGCTGCTTTATTTCAAGCAAAAGTGCCCCCTGTACCCACTGGAGATGAGACCAGGTGGGCTCAAAAGCTAGTTTAGACTCTTCAGACAAGAGACAAATCTCTGCCCCTTACTGGGATGTCACTTCATCACAAATCACATTTTGTTTAAATTTTTTTTTTAAATCTATTGTAAATTTCCATAATGGGCAAATTTATGGTTCATATGCTTGTGGCTGTGACGTATAATTTCCAAAAGAGCAAAATTCCTTAACCCAGACATCAATAATGCAGCTGTGCACTGTATATTAATTTATAATGGAAACAATTCATTCTGATTTAATTAATTTTCAAACAACACACACAATAGACTGGAAGTGCATTCACAGTGCACTCAGTTCATGTAAATGTAAACAGCAAAATGGAACTTCAAAATAATCCAGATCATCAGAATGCAAGCTTAACATCTTCCTGAATGGTAAGTTAACTTTAAAAATTAAATTCTATTGAATGTCACCAATAACTCAGGGGAAAAGTTCATTATAACAACATGTGAATTACTACAGTCTATTTATGCATTTAATTAATCATATCTTCCAATCCACTTTCCAGTGGTTCTTTATGAAAATATTCTGTTCTAAAAAATGTTTTGCGGGATGTTATGCTGTGTCAAAAATATCTTTGAGAGTGTATCATCAACAGATAGTGACACCAGTCATTTCCACCATCATCACAATGTTACTGCATTCTATTTACAACATATGATGGAAAACGAAGTAAAAGACTGAAGATACAGTTCAATACATGAGACTACATAGGAATGACATACACTCAGAAATTTTTCAAACTAATTACTGACATATACTTATGTTTTGCAGGATCCTGCTGTCTCCATAAAAAACGAGGGAGCAGATTAGTTCCTTTGAGACAAACATAAACATTTATCAGTCTACATGAGACCACATTCTGAAGACATTAACGTTCACAGCCACCACTGCTGAAATCTCAAATCTCACATCCTATCCTTAAGTTGCCTCAGAGACATCTGGTTTTTATTCTGTCTACAGGAGCTTGAATTCTTACTGTAGTGATGGAGGGTAGATGTGCAATGTAGGTAGGATGGGAGAACAGGCACCTGGCTTAAAATCACGCAAGCCATGTTCCTACTTTCTCTTACCCAAGTATAGTTAAAATCTCATGCGAAAATTAAAAGGGAATTATCCAATATAATAAATCTTTTTTCTGTTATTAGTGATACTGAAGCAAATAAACGAGGATAAGGAAATCATGCCACAAAAATTAACGTCTTCTTTAACTCTAGGTTGCATATAATCAGCAGTTTGACCAACGGAAAAGTCATTAATCAATACAACATAATTTCAGAAAATGTATGTTTTCAGGTAGCATGGGCTTGTTTCTGAAAGCACAATCAACCGGAAACACTTTGGTACAGAAAATGGATACTTTCATCATTCTGTCTGAACCAACAAATGATCCAATAGTCAAAATTTTATAGCACAACCAAACGCAATTTTAACACCAGTTTATTTATGAGGGTGAGTCAAATGAAAACCTTAAATTTGCAATAAAAAATCGAAATTATGCATCATTATCCTGTAAGTTGGTAAGCGTGCTACAAACAGCGTGCAGAATGGCCTGTAGGTTGCAGCATAGTGCAGATGCACGAACACCGTCACAGCACCAGTATAAGATGGCTGCCCCACTTGAGACTTGCACCAGGGAAGAACAGCGTTCTGTTATTCAGTTTTTGTGTAGTGAAGGTGTGAAACCTATTGAAATTTATCGAAGAATGAAGTTTCAGTATGGTGATGCATGTTTGTCACAGCACGAAGTGTATGAATGGAGTAAGAAGTTTGCAAATGGTCTGACTTCAGTGGAAGATGCTCCTCGTCCGGGTCAGGCATATCGAGTTGTGACTCCAGAGAACACTGCAGCAGTTGAAGCCATGGTGAGGGAAAACTGCGGAGTAACACTGAATGAAATTGCAGCAAGTTTAAACATTAGTCATGGTTCAGCACACCACATTGTGCACGATGTGCTCCAGTTTCACAACGTGTCTGCAAGATGGGTACCACGGCAGCTGACTCCTGAATTGAAAGACCGACGTATTAATGCTTGTGAAGAACTTCTGCGGCGCTTTGAATGAGAAGGTGATGACTTCCTTGCCAGAATCGTTACTGCGGACGAAACCTGGGTTCACTTCCACCAACCGGAAACTAAGAGAGCGACCAAGGAATGGCGCCATTCCTCAGCTCCAAAACCGAAGAAGTTTCGAACACAACCATCAGCAGGGAAGGTTCTGCTGACTCTCTTTTGGGATGAAAAAGGCGTCATCTTGGAGCACTACACACCTAGAGGGACCACTGTCACCAGTGCATCATACTCAGATCTCCTAAAAAATCATATTCGGCTGCAATCAAATCAAAGCGACATGGATTGCTGTTCACAGGTATCCTTTTGCAACATGACAATGCAAGGCCCCATACTGCCTGTACAACAGTTGCGACAATCAGTGACCTGCATTTTGAATGTCTTCCTCATCTGGCATACTCACCAGACCTTGCCCCAAGTAATTTCCATCAAAGAAGCAATGGGAGGAAAGACGTTCCATTCTGATGAAGAGGTATGCCACATGGTGCATGAGTGGTTGCGCAGACTACCAAAAGAATTTTTTTCTAAAGGAATTCATGCACTTTGTAAGCGCTGGAGGACTTGCAATGAGCGTGGGGGAGATTATGTTGAAAAGTGATACAGGTTTGTACCACTTCTACACAATAAATAACACTCAAAAAAATATTTAAGGTTTTCATCTGACTCACCTATGTAAATTACTTGGCCTTTAACTGTTTTCCAGCAAGTCTGTAAAAATGTATGCACATCCTCTTACACCAAACACTAAAATTCTTGTTAACATTGCAGTACATAGATTTCAGTCTTCCTGTATGTGACATCATGTAGTCTTGTGCAAAAGTCCCAACATATTACAGGAACCTGTTACCTCCAGGTTACGAAATGGAGGCTGGAGGTTCCTCCAAAATGCTGGTACCTCTGCACCAGAGTAAACATAATTACACTAGAGAAGACAGTCATCTTCAGAAAAATTTTTGTTGACATATATTTCATAACAAATTAAAATGAAATGGTAAGATGACCTTGAGTGAATAGGTGCATTGGGAGTACATTTTGAACAGTGAGGGACACTAATCTCCAGTCTTGCACACAAACGCTAAACTGAGAGGATGATAACAGATGGCACTGCCAACGATTATTTGAGATGTTACAAGTAATACATTGTGTTACTATAGTCTAACAGAAGTGCCATCTTTTGGCTGTCAACCATACGCACATGCACGCATACTGCTGCTGATGATCTCTGATTTATTATAATTATCACTTCTGGAATTATTATCGTACCTTGGGATCTGGCTCCTTCACCAGCACAACTTCTGGTGACCCATTCGTCGTTGAGTTTGGCTTATCCTTGTCTTTCTGCGCTTTCTTCTCTCTTCTCTTTACTGCACACTGGTATTCAGGTACAACACCTGTCAATGCAGAATAACAGAAGAGCTATGAACATAATATCATACAGCCACAGAAAGTTCTATTAGCTGGAGAAGGTTGTCACCCCTTTCTTTGTTACAACAAATAAATATATTAATTAAAGAAATATGTCTGTGCAGGATTTAGTGCTGTATATTTGTTGGGTGGTATGCTGTGGAGGTAGCATGGGGAAGCCCTACAGATCAGCAGTGGGAGATTATTGAATGACCTTGACTGACAATACCTGTAGTTACAAACATTCCGAATGTTCATTCCACAGTAACGCTGAAGGGCATTCACAAGATCATGAAAGGAAACTTGGACAGTGTTCTGCTATCAACAGTTTCTTCTGTGGGGGAGAAAACTGTCTTAAATAAGTATATAATTTTCTAGTACATAAAAAATTAAAGTTTCAGTTTTCTGTTTCTTACTGCAGGCCTAATAGAGAAGATCCAAACATGTTACAAAATGTCATATGTACTCCTGCGCATACATACTGTAGCTACAGCTGTTAAAACAATCTGTAAGTATTGAAGTAAAATTCTGTATGTGATTTGAATCTTCATTCCCAACCTCTTTTTACCACACTTCATTTCCATAGGGTAAAATGTAGGTAATGAGACCACCATGCTTTCAGTGTTTGTGTGCCCAACCATTTCAAGTTTTGAACCAACTGAATGACACAAGCTTGGTAGGAGAACTGTACTGTTTGAGGTCACCTCCAACTGACTGACTGACTCAATGGAGCTGAGTCCCTATTGGGATTCTTGCTCAGATGCTCAAGAATTTCCCAAAATTTTATGGAACCTCAAGGTCCATTACTGGATTCACAACAGACCTCCACTGGTTCCTACCTACTGCCAGATAAATCCACTCAATACCACCCCATTCTATTTCTTTATGATCCACTTTAATAGTAACCTCCCTCCTATATCTAAGTCTTCTTAGCGGTCTCTTTTCTTCTGGCTTTCACACCAAAACCCTTCTCCCACAGGAGTGCTACATGTCATTCCCATCTCATCCTTGTTTATTTGATCATTGTAATTACATTTGATGTAGGGTACAAGTTATGAAGCTGCTCATTATGTAATTCTCCCCAACCCCCTACCATGTTAGGTGGATCCCGTCACCACGGCATGTGTCCTCAGGTTGCTGATGGAAGAGACAGCCTCCAGATATGCGGAGCTGTTGCGAATATACTGAATAAGTAGTTGCAGATATCTGATAAGGGGCGGTCCTCCAGCTTGGGGGTGGAGTGTGGGATTAAGAACTTCCCGCCATAAAAAAATCATTCTGTTACAATATATTCTTCTATAATCGGTGATGATATGGCCCTCAGGCCCTAAGAAAGCCCAAGCAACACAGGTGGGCACACAATCGACCCAGTGGAGGTGTGAGTGCTTAAGGGATGACTCTAAGATGCCCCCTATGTCAGTACTCAGTAACATGGTGGATACACTAACCTGTGAAATAGGAATGACAACAGCGCTGCTAATTTGGAATCCTGAAATGATGTATGGTAAAAGATCTTTGAAAATTATGCATATCTGAGAAGATAACCTTAATTGAAAGCATAAAATAACGATACGATTGTCTTGCAAAATATTGTTTTTAGCCTTAAGGTGGAGAGTGAAAAGTAATTAACCATTTGGAACTAGGCATATGAAAGTTCAGTACAGAGACTTCCTGAAAAACACCAACAAATTAAATATGAAATATTGTTTGTTGGTGAACAATTACAAACATGGAGATGTTGCAGAACTGTGTTAAAATACAGCTCATTTTCACCATTCATAAACAGTGTGTCCAGGTTCTGTTAGGACTGTGTTTATTAAAAATACAAGATGTGAATTATTTTCAAAATTTCACTCTTTTTATTCAAAATAGTCTCCTTCTGAATCAATACATAGCTGGAATCGGTTGAAAGGTTTTCAAAAAGAGTCACTGTACTCCCTTTGTGGAATCGCATTTAAAACTGTGGTAGATTCCCTCTGGATGTCCTGGATGGTGTCTTGACAGTCTCCTTTCACCACAAACTTAACTTTTGGGAACAACCAAAAATCTGTTGGAGCCAAACCTGGCGAATAGCCAAATCTGGCGAATACGGAGGATGATCGAGGACTGTGATTCCTTTTCTGGCCAAAAAAAATTGCGCACGATCTTCGATTTGTGGGGTGGGACATTGTCATGGAGGAGCGACCAGGAACCTTGCTCTTGATATTCAGGTCAAATTTGAAGAATTCTCGCCCATAAACGATTGAGGACTCCGAGATAATAATCAGAATTCGCTGTTTGACCTTCTGGCAGAAATTCCTTGTGAATGATTCCTTTGGAATTGAAGAAAACGGTTAGCAGTGTCTTTACTCGATTCTTTGGCACGCGCACTTTCTTTGGTTTCGGCTCCTTTGGGCTCAACCACGCTGCACCCTGCCGCTTTGTGAGAGGCTCATATTGAAAACATCACGTCTCATCACCACTAACAATCGATTTTGTAAATTTTGTGATCACTTTGGGCCGACTGTAACATGTCTTTTCAGTGTTCCACTCTGGCAGGTTTTTCATCGCATGACAGCGCGTGCAGTTTAACCGCGCACAGACCTTCCGTTTGCCCAAATCCTCGGTCAAAATTTGATGCACAGTACCTTTTGGTATTCCCAAAAGCTCCTCGATGAGTCTTGCAGAAACACATCTGTCTGATGCAAGGATTTCGGTCACTGTTTTCACATTTTCTTCAGTGTGACTTGTTCTCGGCTTTGAAGCACGTGGAGTGTCTTCAATGTCCTCCCTACCATCACGAAATATAGTAAACCATCGAAAAATGTACAAGCGACTCAAGCAATCACTACTGTACACACTTTTCGTCATTTTGTATGCTTCTCCGGCTGTTTTGCCTAACTTCAAACAAAATCTGATGTTCGCTCTCTGTTCAACCGCCATTTTCCGATGAGCGTCAGAACAGTACTGTTACAGTCAAGGTCAGAACACACGATGCAGTGATGCTTGCGCTTTGAAATTATAGACAGCCACGGCTGAAACTTCAAGAATCTTAACGCCACAACTCGCCAACAGATGGCATGGCAAAAAAAAAAAAAAATCCTAACGGATCCTGGACACATCGTGCATGTTACTTATACTCTGGTTGATCCACATGCTGTTCTATGCCCTTGGTTTCCATACATCTTTCCCTCATTGCAGAAGAAACAAAATTTTACAGTCATATATACTCGTACATATATACCAAACAGCAGATATGTGAATACAGAAATTCAACATGTAAGGACAGAAACGAATGGAGGTCTTCATGTAAAGTGCTCATATGCTTTGTCCAATCTAAAGGACAACTGAAGTGTAAGATTTGAGGCTTTCACGGCGGTGACTATGAAGAAAGCAGTCTTCTGGGATTTGGCACCGTGTATATGTGGTGTTAACCGACGTTTCGGAGGAACGTATCGCCCCCATCTTCAGGGTAGAAGAAAAAGTATCAGAAATCTGCAAGCGACAACACCGTGAGAAACGGTAAAGCAGACTGTGACAACTGAAGTGTTTTCTTTTTTCTTATTCAGTTGCAGTCTCAAAATATATGCATAATTCCAAGAAAATTATATAGTTTCTTCAGTATAGCATGTTTCTGCCACTATTTATGGACATCATCAGGTAGTACTTATACAGTCCCTCTCAACTTTCTCTGTTACCCCTCTCCACTGGCCAATGTTTAGATTGGGGGNAATCACACTTAAACCTATACTAAATACAACATTCCATCCTAAAAAAAATAAAAACTAGTTTGTGAGAAGAGAGAACTGTAGCATAAACAGTCAGTGAATACTTCCTTACATTCCGGCCTCATCCCAACGCTGAGGCACTTCTTGAGCCGACACTCTTGGCATTTCCGTCGCATATACATGTCAATTTCACAGTTGTTCCCGTACTTGCACTGGTACACTGCATTCTTTGTTATGCTTCTCCGGAAAAACCCTGAAACAATTAAGATTTACGTGCATGAGACAGATACCCTACATATAATCCATCTAAAACATCTTCCAGGAGCACCAACCTTCAGTATGGAACCTTACAGAAGAAGAGACCAGCATGTCCAATGAGATCTCTGGTATGGTGACTATAGTTCTCACTGTAGGCTAAAAACAGTACCTAAACTAAACTCCATGACTTTAGTCTGCAAGCGAACTATACCGACCGAGCGACCGTCACCCATGGGCGAAGTTAGTGCCAACTTTGGCGATAGAGGGTGTTACGTGGGCACTGCAACGAATCCCCATGGTTGTTAATCTCAGTGTTCTAGACTGGAGCCGCTACTTTTCCATTCAAGGAGCTATTCAGTTATCCTCATGAGGCTGGGTGGACCCCGTTCAAAACCGACGTCTCAGAAAATCTAGTAGCGCCGGGAATCGAACACAGGACCTCTGGTTCTGTAGCCATGAACTCTAACCACTAGAACACAGAGGCGGTAAATAGATCCTAATACCTTTATAATGAGGAATTAGTGATATATGTTATTACCTCAGAATGGTGCACCCTCAGAAATATTTCAGATGTACACAACTATTCTTCACTATGAACAATGTATATAAAATGCTTAATTTTATGCACCATCTTCAGAATTAATATAAATATGTGCTATATACTGTGAAAAACACGGGGTAGAGGTTAATATGCCCATTATTGCAGGTGTTAATATCAACTGCAAAAGTGCTAGATAAGATTACATCGACTGTTATAAAATCAGTATGCCCAAAGAAAGCACTGCTAACCACAAGAACTTCTTTTAACTTGGAAATAACCTGTAACTAAATATAAAGTTTACATAACCACGTACCAACTACAGATGTTTTTTACACCTGGCCTCTGGCTTGTGCTTAAGGAGAAGTGGGGAGAAGTAGGGGGACAGTGATTGCAACTGTATTGTGAGAGGAAGGGGGGGAGGAAGAGTGACATATACAAGAGTTACTTGAGAAATCTGTGAGATTAAGGCGTCGAGACTTGTGAGATCACTGTTGAACTGACGATGCTCTGCAACTAAAGCCCTGACTGATATATACCCATATTCATCCACCCTACAGCCCGTATTTCAGTCACTCAATTCGACCAAATCCATTGTGCATTCTGCTGATAACAGCCAGGTATAGAAACATGGCGAGTTGCTAACGTAGCTAATTCTGACTTCTTCCCAGTATAGCCTGTCTCTTGAAAGCAGGGTCAAAATAAGCTTGCAAGTTCTGTCATTTTCAGGGTTTGTGTTAGATCTCAGGTACCTTAAAAGTGCCAGAGACTGGGCCCCTGATATAATTCACCCTAACAAGCTCTCCCCTATCTGAATTTTGCCCTGCTTTTATGGCATGGATGTCCAGTTGGGAAAGAATGAGAAGAAAAAGGATAAATAAATTGGAAAATAAAATAATGACAAAACAAGCTGGTATGAGTACAGTTTTAGGATAAGCAAAGATTGACTCTCAAAGAAAGTTTTTCAAGATAAAAGTACTAAAATGCTGAAGCAGGCCAGCAGCTTATGAAAGATAAACAGAAAAAAGGACATGGGGAAAAAATATAGGAACAAGAGCTTTGGGAATACAATGGCAGTTGGAGAGGGGCTTACTTGTTTGCTTGCTCGACTGACATAGAGATGGAAACATCATCATCATCATCATCATCATCATCATCATCATCATCATCAGTAATCTGTCAGACGACAGGTCCACAGTCTCTTCCAAAACAATTCCTCCACTTAATGTGATCTAGAGCTTTCTCCTTCAAATGACAGCATCCTCTTCAGTCCCCAAGGTCATCCAGCATCTTCTTGCGTCTTCTTGTCACTTCTATCCGCCCCTCTATCTTTCCTTCAATAACTTCTTTTAGAAGGCAGTTTCTGCGTAAAACATGACCAATCCAATTAGCCTTCCATTTTCTTATTTCGTGTAGGATATTCCTCTGCTCACTGACTATAATTAACACTTCTTCATTTCTCACATAATCGGTCCAACTGATCTTCTCCATCCTTCTCCAACACCACATTTTGAAACTTTCCAGATGTTTCTCATCTACTGCCCTAAGTGTCCATGTTTCAGCCCCATACAGAGCTATGCTCCAAATGTAGCATTTCACTAGTTTCTTCCTCAAATTTAAGTCCAGTTTGCTGGTAAAAATATTCTTCTTCTTGCTAAATGCAGCTTTTGCCATGGCAATCCTGGATTTAATTTCACTAGTACACCTTCCATCATCTGCTAACAAGCTACCCAAATATTTAAACATTTCACATTCTCCAGTTGTTTTTGGTCTATCTTTATTGTGACTGTGGTTGGTTGTCTCGAAATTTTAATTACTTTTGTTTTCTCCACATTCATTTCCATGCCATAGCACCTTCCAATTTCAATTAGTCTATCAATCATGCCCTGTAGCACAGTTTCTTCCTTAGCTATTAACACAAGGTCATCTGCATATTTCACAATTTGAATAATTTGCCCTCCTAATTTGAAGTCTCTGAGCCCATCCAGAGCTTCCTTGGTAAGGCATTCGCTGTACAAATTGAACAGAACTGGTGATAAACAGCATCCTTGTCAAACTCCTCTTCCAATCTGCACGCTTCTTGTATCCCCTCTGTCCAGTCGTACTCTAACTTTCTGGTCCATCTATCATACAATTTGCTGATCAATCTTCTTTCACACCAATCGATACCTGTTTCCTTTAGGATATGCATTAATTTGGTCCAGTTTACACGGTCAAACACACAGCAAACACACAGTTCTTCATCTAAAAATGAATTTGACTATCCCAATGAAGATGATGATAGTCCTTCAGCTAGTCAAGACACCCTTCAACTGTAACAGAATCTGAAGATTCATTACAACGTTTACATGAGTCCATAGAGTTCACTATCATGTGCCAAATGAATCCAGTCAGCAGTCTCCCACTCTCACATCTATGCCTAGGTCTTCTATTCAGTCTCTTCCCTACAGACCTCTGACTAAAATTCTGTAGGAATTTATCTCCCTCACATGCAGTATGCCCCACCCACTTCATTCTCCTCAAGTAGATCATTCTAACATTAAATGGCAAGCTGGCAATTATGAATCTCACAATTACAGTTCTTTCCAGCTTGATATTCTAGAAATGATTATGTTTTGCATCCTACATCATCTTTTCAGGCTGGCATTTGATGTGCAAGATAATATGATGTACCTGAGATGTACATACAGCTAAACAGAGCTGTGAGTTACATTATTTTCTCTGACATTTAAAATTACTTAAAAAAGAGCACAAGCCATAATAGGATGTTTGAAATATTGGGCAAAGTTTATATACATAAAAGCCCTGCACTTTTTAAAGATAATCGATTTTAAATTCTGTGCCAAATTAGTTTGTTGGAGCACAGAATTATAGCCTCCAAGATGACCTGCCAATCTGTGAACCTTCCTAGCCTGGTCCATTCAATACAGTAAGTGGTCTATGGACACAATATACATTGACCAATTCGTATATTGATATCTTACAGGATCATATTTTGTAATTACATCAGTGTGGCGTGAACCCATCTTTTACATTGGTCATTGGCTGATGGTATGTTATATTAAAGATCTGAAAGGTCACACATTTCTTGTTTGTTGCAATAACTCCGGGGTTAAGTTCATTCCAAAAACATGGCAGTTCAGCACATTTAAATATGGAGAAGCTTCCTGGTCATTCTCTCAATCTGGGAAACGTAACTGCAACATCATCTAACACTCTCAAAAAGGTAACAGTACGAGTATAACTGTAAATATCCAAAATGGAAAATACTTCCCTGAATAATGAATTAAAAGAAACTGAATTAATGTTTGTACACATGTTTAGATACGTTCTATAAAACAGGTACAAGTTTCATTCAAATCTGAACAGCTGTTCACAATACCATGTTTTGGACTACATGAGACTGACCAAAACTTTTATATTAAGATTGAGGTCTTCCAGGAAGAAATGTCTGGTATAAGGTTATCAGTGTTTGGGAGGGACCGACTGCCCCTAGCCCCAGGGCTGATGAGTAGTGCAGTTTTAATCAATTCTGAATATCTCACCTTTACACCCCTCACAGGTAAGGGCATTATAATGATAGCCAGATGCTCTGTCCCCACAGACGAGACACAATTCTTCCTGCTGACGTGGAGCTGGGCCCTTCTTCTTCTTGGCATCGCAGCTGTCAAAACTGTGTCCATTAAGACTGCTCTGAGGTGATAAGTCCTCTCGACCTGTAACAATGAATTGTAAAACAGTATATTAACATCCCTCAAGAACTACAGAATCATGTTTATTAATAAACTTGCGGGAATCGGGGGGGGNCACAAAATAGGTACAGGCGTGTTTATGATATAAACAAAAACCAAACTGACAAAACAAACAAATACTTTATTGTGATCTGTTGTGCTGACCACGTGACACCTATATCTTTAAAAGTTGGCACTAATTTCGCTGGCAAGCGGCGGTTGGTAAAATTCTCTTGTGGACTAAAGGCCATGGCGGATCTTATTATGATAGAGTGATACGTTCTTTTAGATGACGTAGGGTGAGACCGAATCCCTTGGTACTGAGGCCTCAAATGGGCCTACTGTACCGGCCCCAGATGAAATAGCTGTAGGAGTGGTGTGAGACTGAGTCACCTGGTACTGCGGACTGAAATGGGGCTACTGTACCAGCCCCTGATGAGCTAGTTGTAGGAGTGGGGTGGGACTGAGTCCCTTGGTACTGCGGACTGAAATGGGACTACTGTACCAGTCCCTGAAGAATTAACTGTGGGAGTGGGGTGAGACTGAGTACGACCAATTATAGTGAGTGGTCACTTTCACAGGTTTCGGTGTTTTAAATCTCGTGATCTTGACTACAGTGATGTCTGAACTTCAGATTATTTCTTATAATCGGCCGTATACACTTATAATAACAATGTCTTTATAAAGGTACCAGCAGACGCCTTTCTACATGCTAGCCATCTTCACTGCCACGTTAACTGCGGTTTGCAAACCACAGCCACCTGTACGAGGTGTGACGTGTCTGGTAACCCTCACCTGTTAATGTTTATCTCTTATTTAGTGCGACTTCGAAAAGTATGTTGTTCTGATTAGTAGGACATACTGTCAATTTAAAATACATTATATGAGTTGAGGTTCTTACAGCAGTGGTAATGATGGGTACTATCTTCTGTGATATAACGCCGTGTAGTCTGCTTGCCACCTTTCACGCTAGCATGTTCCTTGGCATACTCGACCCTGAAGATGGAGGCGACATGTTCCTCCAAAACTTCGGCTGACTTTCAACAGGCTACACGGCGTTATATCCCAGATGATTGTAGTACTCTTCATGTATATGTAAAATTTCTGTAGTTTTGTTTTCTATTGGATTCCCGACATTAAGTGAGGAGCATAGAATGAGGGTGCCTGAGAACGGGATATAAAGGTAAAATTGTCCGTGTACAAATTAAGCACTACGGCATGAAGGCGTAAGGGGAAATGGATGTATAGGTTCACATTATCTTGACCTCGGCACTAGCTCAAGGTGAGTGGTCAGCTCGACGCCCTTGCCGCTTTAACCTCGGGGAGAGAGCCACAGCACCCACTGAATACGTTGGGTGGACCCCAGAGCCGGTCTGGACAGACGTGGAGAAAATTTTGACCCTACCGGGACTCGAACCCCGACCCCTCGGATCGTCCAGCCCGTAGCTACCACCTTGGGAACAGGGTGCTGAGGAGAATATTTCAACCGAAGTGGGATAAAATTGTAGGACGTTTCAGAAAACTGCATGAGGAGCTTCACAACACGTACACTTTGCCAAGTATAATCAAAATGACCAACTCAAGGAGGATAAGATGGGCAAGGCATGTAGCACGCATTGGTAGAAAACGGTATTTTGGTGGGAAAGTTGGAACGAAAAAGACCACAAGGAAGACCTACATGTAGGTGTTAGGATAATATTAAAATTGGTGTTTTTAGAGAAATATGATGGGGTGGCATGAACTTGTTTAATATGACTAATGATAGGGGCCAGTTGCGGGCTTTTGTGAGCATGGTAATGAACCTTCGGGTTCCACAAAATGTAGGGAAATTCTTTAGTAGATGAGCGACTGTGGTCTTCTCAAGGACTCATCTCCATGGCGTTAGTTAATTAAGCAAAGCTGTTCCAGGTATCCACCTCGTCCGTTTCTTGGGCGTAGTCTTCGAACTGGCAGGTCACGGTAGCCGAGCGGTCTAAGGCATGTAGTGTCTTCGCTCGCTTGGAAACTGGGATCGTGGGTTCTAATCCCACTCAGGGCATGGATGTTTAGTTTGTGTGTGTGCGTTTTTCTGTGTCTGTGTACAGGTAGAGGCCTTGCGACGAGCTGATCACCCGCCCAAGGAGTCCTACCGAATGTGTAAGATCTAGAAAAACCGAAGTGAACGGAGAAGTTCATGGAGGTAGGCCTAGGCCCACTGGGCCTGTAGTGCCAAGGGGGAAAAAATCTTCGAACTGACCTGAAGGTCACCCATGCATGGCCTAGTCGAATGGGCTTTGCGAGCTACCCTAAAATAAACTGCCTTAAGTATGAATGGATAATTACAATGAGTCACATTTTTAAGTTCAGGACCTTGCTGGGAAACCGGACGCAGTGTTTGCTTCATGATCGCACCCACAGAAAAGCTTCAGGCCTCCACTCCCGCCCCTCCTGACACTCTGACCACTCATGAGCATCACCACGGCAAACATCTTCAATGACCTTGACATTACTTCACGTCACAAACCCTTCCTCTGACACATCCTGCTGTTACATACGGCATTGAAACACGACCGACACACACAACTACTGCTCACATGATCTGTACTACGGAATCACTTTACTGCTAGGTGTCTGTTTTCCCTCTGAAACTGTCATCTTTACTGAAAGAAACGTCATCAAATTCTGAACAAATGTTAATAGAAGATAATGGATCAGAATTCATCATCATCACCGCCTTCTCCTCTGGAAACTGTTATTGGAATTCCTGCTCGCCATATCGAGGACTTCTCTTTGCTCAATGTCCGCTCTGTCACGTAAACATTGTCCTGCAACACACGCTCCCGCTGCACATGCTGCTTGTAGGGAAACTGACGTACACGCATCGAGCACGAAAACTTTTTCTCTTTATCACATTTTATAATTCTACTTCTTAATTATTAAAATATGAACTGTACTCAGTATGTATGCATACTACGTATATGCCCTTCACAATGGCCGCGCGGTCTAAGCTATGAACTGTCTTCGCTCGCTCAAACGCTGGGATCGTGGCTTCGAATCCCACACAAGGCATGGATGTCTGTGCGTTTAGTGTGTAGATAGCGGCCTTGTGAATGGCTGATCCCCCGTCAAAGGAGTCATTCCGACTGTGTATAGGATTAAGGAACTGACGGTACGAGCTATACATAGATGCACATATGCACGTGTTTATCGCAACACAACTGACGGCGTCAATGCACTTACCGAATTGTTAATATTGTCTAAACCATAAAAGTTGGCATTCTTTCGCCAGTGCTTCCTTACAACTAGCTAGCTCAGTCGGTATAGCGACGAGCTATGGGTTGGACGGCCCGGGTTAGATTCTCGGCAGGGCAAGATTTTCTCTTCTCCACAGCGCCCAGAACGGCTCTGGTGTCCACCCAGCTTCCTATCCAGAGGGTACAAGTTAAACGAGGTAAGAATACGGTCCGGAACACGGACACTCTGAAGTGTTTCGTGGGTTTCCTTAGTCCCTCCAGACAAACGTCCGGAGAGTACGTACATTACATCATGATTCCTTTGTTCTTGGAGCCTCCCCGATCAACATTCACCGGTCATCCTATCACTCGACGCCATATACTCGGAGACGCTGACAGCGTTACACAATAGCCTAAAAAAATAAGCAACGTCCGCCGGTTCTTACTTTACTCAGCGACGGCAACGCTTCAGTCAATATAAAACAACTAGTTCTAATCGCCTACTTTCCTTTCTCTACGAATCTAGAACTGGTTTCAGCACGTACCGCATAGAAAATACGGCCTCCAACAGTTCTATTCTTGCGTGTGTATTCGTTGCCGCGGATAGTGTTTACCGAGCCGTTGCCTACCAATGTCCGTCTCTTCGGTAACTACCAAAGCGGACTAAAGGGTTAGAGGGATAATGGCCTACTATGGCCTTAGCGTGAAGAAAACTATGAAAAACATCAGACAGGCACTCAGTGTCTGGCCGACACTCGAACTGGGAGCCCAAGACGGATTACCGTTTGAGCTGCTCCGGTCGACCAACTCAAGCGTCCTCGGTTCGTAGCCTGTGCAGACGCTTGTCATGACTGCGACGTTCTTTTATAATTCTTTTTCTTGTTTCTGTTCAAGGAATTTCTTCCCTTCCCCCGGTTTCAAAATCGTGTCTCGGAAAACACCCTTGTCAGAAACACCGGAAGTGTGTGTGTGTGTGTGTGGGGGGGGGGCAGATCTGGAGCACACGGGGTTAAGAAAATGTTAAGGGGGTTCGTCACCTCTTTGTCTGCGTTACTGAATCTTACGCTCACATTTAAAGTGGGGATTCCTTCCATTTTGTTTGGCTCCTATCAGAGAAATAATGAAATATTAAAACACTTTTAGCCGGTCTCGGTTACTGTCTTCGCTCGCTCGGAAGCCGGGATCGAGGTTCGAATCCCACACAAGGCATGGATGTTTGGTGTGTGCATGCGTTTATTCTGTGTTTGTGTTCTGTGTTTAGGTAGAGGCCTTGCGACGAGCTGATCACCCGCCCAAGGTGTCCTACTGAATGTCTAGGATCTGGTAAACCGAAGTGAAACGGAGAGTTTCATGGAGGTAGGACAAGGCCCAAACTGAGGCTGTAGCGCCAAAGAAAAGAAAAACATCGTGTAAGTTCTTGTAATGAAACTACGTGTAGCCGCAACGTAAGCACTAACTTCTGTGGTAGTCTGCAGTAATTCGTATCGGCCTGTACTTCACTATTCTGTGTTTATGTTTGCATAAACTCGTTTTCCCTTACACACGGCTTCCCGAGTTATGAACGATCGCTGTACATGCAGACACAAACACACGTCACAATCTGCTGTTAGGACGACGGAATGTCATCAGTTGATGACATCATACTCGACACTAGGGTCTTCTGGGTTGTACCGTCATGTAGTTCGGAGAGAGTCCAACGTTTCGGAGGTACATCGCTCCCATTTTCAGTGTCATGGTAAACCAAGCAAGAAACACGCATAATCAGACGGAAAG